CCACTAGCATTAGAGCATTAAGGCTGTCAGTTTGAATTAGCTACACGCCAAAATGTGAGAGGCTTTCAAAAACCACAGAGTAAGCCCCTGAAAGTACTTGGCCCATAAACAATCCATTTCTTACGTGAGGACTGCCACTGTCCGGAGCTCTGCGAGCACTGTATTACCGCATCTCACCGCCCTGATAAGGCTCAGCTCAGCATCTCCTGTGCCACAGAGATGGGGACTGTTAAAGACAATGAATGTGACAGAGGCAAGTTAGGAATAAATTAATTTCATTTCACTAACTCTTTCACCCCACAGATCTTTAAAATAGTTGCATTACTGGTGTTTAACAGTGGAAATTTATTTCAGAAATTGTACAGTAATAATAGAACTTTTATAGAAAGTAGTACTATGTGTGCATCTCCTCCTAATTACCTCCAAGTGTTTCAAAAGCCTCTCTTCTTGATAGTTTGAATACTTCCATGGCGGTCTTGTTTGGTGCATCACACGTTTCATTTAGTCTACCTAGCTTTCCATCCTCCAGGCTAGCAGGTGACTTAGTCTCTATAGTTAGCATATCTCCTGAACTCTGCCCGTCTCACTGTTTGCTCACTGCTTGTACTTAATGCACCCTATGGGGCTCACTGGCCCCTTCCTGTGCTCCACAGCAGAATCGAATTCTTCATATAATGTAGCAAACGAATGTTATACTAACCAACATCTAGTTTTCTTCATTTACTCAGTTAAATGTATTGCCATTACTTATGTTTTTGTATTATTTTATTCCTTTCACCTTGCCCTTTCTCATTTTCCTCCCAATTCTGGTCATTTTGAAAATAATAAATTTATGCTAAGTGAAATAAATCAGTCAGAGAATGACAAATACCATTTCACTTATATGCTGAATCTAATGAACAAAATAGACGGACAAAATAGAAATAGACTCATAGATACAGAGAACAGCAGTCGGGGGGGGGGGAGGGGGTTGAGGAGCTGGGTGAAAAAGATGAAGGGATTAAGCCACACACACACACACACATACACACACACACAACCCACAAAAACACAGACAATATGGTGATTGCCAGAGGAAAAAGGGGTGGGGGAGGTGGAAGAGGCAAAGAAGGGACAAATGGTGGCAGAAAGAGACTTGCTCTGGTGATGAGTGCACACTGTAGAGAGGATGTGGTCTAGTCGTACACCTGAAGTCCGTATGGCTCTTTGACCAGTGTTATCCCACAGATTCAATGTACAAGACACTAGACATGTTTTGTGCAAGTTCTTCCCTAAAGTCAAACCTTTTCAATTATCCTTGTTTCTATTTGATATTAGCATGTAGTGTGTGGAATATAATTCTCCTTTCTTCGTCCGAATTTCTCATGTAGTCCATTTGACACAAGTGGCTTTTTAAAAAAATATATATATATTATTGATTTCTCACAGAGAGGAAGGGAGAGGAATAGAGAGCTAGAAACGTCGATGAGAGAGAAACACCGACCAGCTGCCTCTTGCACACCCCCCACTGGGGATGTGCCCACAACCCAGGTACATGCCCTTGACCGGACTCGAACCTGGGACCCTTCAGTCCACAGACCGACACTCTACCACTGAGCCAAACCGGTTTCGGCACAAGAGGCTTCTTAAACATTCCCATGAGCCACAGCTGTTCTAGACCACAGCAGTTGTCTGCTGGGCACAGTCAAATGCAAACTGGGATACCAACGGTGTGAATGCATCGCCAGGAGGATGCAGAACCGGACTGGCTGTCTCCTCCCTCCCCAACGCACTTCTCACACCAGCCCTCCCGGCAAGCTCAGCCTCACACAGCAGCATCAGTAACATCCACCGAGCGCTGTCCTTTCCCAAGCACTGGAGAAAGCAGAAGCCATCAGCAGATTCCCACTCATTTTATCTTAAGTGCTTTCCTGAAAAGTTCTGCTTACCAAATGCTGTTGTCAAAAGTCATGTTGAAACCTACTTCTTTATTTTAGGAAACTTTTCTCTTACCCAATTATATTTGTAAAAAGCAAAGGAAACAAGTCATGTTTGAGGGGAAAAGACAAAAACTTTTTTTTTTGTCTAAGCCTGGAAGATCGGTCCATAAATAGAACGAGGCTGCCCAGCCAGCATGGCTGAGCGTGGACCTATGAACCAGGAGGTCATGGTTAGATTCCCGGTCAGGGCACATGCTGTGGTTGTAGGCTTCATCCCCAGTAGGAGGCGTGCAGGAGGCAGCTGATCCATGATTCTCTCTCATCACTGATGTTTCTATCTCTCCCTCTCCCATCAATTTAAAGTCAATTAAAAATATAAAAAACAAACAAAAATAGAACCAGACTGAGCAGGATGCAGAGAATTTCTCATAATACTAAGTGGCTAAGAAATTTACTCCCCTGAACCGAGATGTACTGTCCAATATGGTAGCCACTGCCAAGATAGTTAATTAATTAAAATTTTAAAAGTAACTTCCTGGGCATAGAAGCCACATTTCTAGAGCTCAGTGGCGACATATGGCTAGTGGCTACTATATTGGTTGGTGCAGATAGTGTATTTCTATCATTATGGACAGTTCTATTGGAAATGATGAAATTACAATTTTCTAGGAACAATTTGGTAATCTGAAAGTAGTAGGCCAACTACAATGAGTTAGGATACATATCATCCATAGGTTGTGATAGAGGGAGGGAGTGTGTGTGTGTGTGTTGGCAGCAGGGAGAGTGACGTGATACTGGGTGGATATTGAACCTATTCTCTGAAATAGGAATGCTAAAGGCGTGGAATTGATTTTACTTTTTAGAGGATGGAGGTAAAAGGTGAATTTCTGTTTTACCCATTTAAGTTGGAGATTGTGAGGGACAGTCTCACAAGATGTACAATAGGCAGTTGGATTTATAAGTTTGGAGGAGTCACTCTTAAGTAGCTTAAAGAGAGATGCATGCATGTGGATCTCTCATCACTCCTTAAAATAAGTGCCTAGAAGAGAAACTGCTTTTTCAGGGTATGAGTAATATGTGGTCTTTCCACGTTTCTCCTCCCCGTCCCCAGTGGCCTTTGTGATGCGGTGATAAACAGGCATTCCCTGGTGGCCCTTGAGATGTGTGCTACAGATGTTACTGATGGGCGTGGTCAGTTAAAGCCCTTTCTTTGGGAAAACAGACACAGCCCTCTGCGTGACCCGTGATCCAGAGGCTTTGTAAACACCATTGCGCCCTTATCAGTCCAGGTCCCCGGCAGGAACACAGGCATTTCCTAAGGAATTTTAAACAAGTAGCATTCACCATGAGCACTGTATACAGAGGTGCCAGAAGACCAAAGGGCAGACCCTGAGATTGTCACACACTCCTGGCTGCAGGAAGGAGCTCAGTCCTGGAGCAGGGAGAACAGTGAGGGGGTCTCTCATCCTCAGAGCTCCAGAGCAAACTCACCGCCAGGGGCGCCCCTGAGGGTAGGAGAGGAAGACAGGCCGCCAAGGAGAGGCTGCGGCCCTGGCTCTGGGACTTTGTAAGGAACACAGCCGTTCCCCAGGATGCCCCCTTCTGACTCCCTGCTGTGCCTCCTCTGGGCTGGTGAGTGGCAGCCACTTGGCCAGGAAGGCTGGGACATGTAGTCTGCAGACTCCAGCCCAACCATCACCACAGAGCGGAGTTTCGGTGAATATGCAGCTCAGAGACCACAGGCAAATAACCTGCACTTGGTTAGGAATACAAACTTTTCCTCCTTTAGTTGTGAATAAAGAAAATTGACTCATTTGATCTCTGATCTTTCGTGAACTTGGCAGACTGCAGGCAGGGTCTATCACCATGACTACCACATAAAATGCTCAGCTGATGTGGCTCAGTGGTTTTCTATGGACCTATGAACCAGGAGGTCACGGTTTGACTCCCTGCTCTCAACCGGGTTGAAGATTCGTTCCCCAGTGGAGAGTGTGCAGGAGGCAGCCGATCAACGATTCTCTCTCATCACTGATGTTTCTAGCTCTCTCTTCTCTGAAATCAATATATATAAAATTTTAAAAATAAAGTGCTCCTTAAATATCACTAAGTATTTGAGCAAACAAATGCCTATTCCCATCATTGATAAGTAGTTCCAGTCGGTGCTCAAATTACATGATGGAGCTATAAAGTGACTTTTAAAGACACTTTCACTCCTGTGTACCATTTAGTATTTTCCATTACAGCTGAGCTGCTTCGCGGCAGCTCTCGGCAGTCTGCCTTAAACAAACTCACAAAGCCTCACAGGTGTGGCCGTGGCCGGCTGGCCACGGGAGGCGCACCGTCTGGGTCCGCTCTGACCCTGGGCGCTGGGAGCAGAGGGGACAACAGGGCGATGGCCCCGACCGGCTGCCTCCGCGGAGGCCCCGCCCCCAGACCGGCCGCGCGGGCCGCCTCCGCGAGGACACGCACAGCGGGCCGCTCCGGGGGGGGGGGGGGGGGGGGGAAGGAACCGGGGACGCCGCCGCCGCCGGGGCCACGGGAAGCAAGCGGGCTCCCGGCCCGAGGCGGAGCCACAGCGCGTGCGCGGCGCGGCGAGCTCCGGTCCTCCCGGCGGAGGGCCCGGTCCGCTCAGCCGGCCCAGCTGGTGCTCCGGGAAAAGCCGACCCCGGCAGTTTTAACCCGTCAGCCCGGCGCCGGGGACGGGCGGACGGGGAGGACGGGGGCGGAAGAACCGGCGCACACCTTGGACGCTGGGCGGACACACCGAGGGCAGCCGACGTCCCGGGGGACCGGCTCCCGCGCCGCGGCTCTGCGGGGCGGGCCCCGAGGCCCCGCCCTCGCCACGGCGGCTCTCATTGGACCCCTTCCTGTGGCGTCAAATTCCGGCGTCCGGAAGGAGGCGGGACTTCCTGTCTGGAGAACCAATTCCGGCCGCGCCGGAAGTGCCCGTTGGAGAAAGGATGAGAGGTACCCGCCGCCCGGAGGTCCGGGCTGGGCTAGCGTTCCGCGGCCTCGGAAGGAAGACTGAGCGGAAGCCCCTCCACTGACCGCCACGTCCCCGCAGCGGGGCCGCGGTCCGGCATGGACAGCCGCCTGCAGGAGATCCGGGAGCGGCAGAAGCTCCGGCGGCAGCTCCTCGCCCAGCAGGTCCGCGGCCGGGAGGGGTCGCCCTGCGCGTGCGCGGCCTCCGCGTCCGTCCCGGGGGGTGTCCGCCCCGGACGCCTCCGCCCCCCGCCGGTTCCCGGACCGGGCGCCGCGGCTGGTCTCCACAGCCTCCCGTGGTGCCCGCCGGGCGCGCGAAGCTCCGGGCTGGGGGTGCGTCACCGCCCGCAACACGCCAGGCGCCTGGTCCGCTGAGCGTGTCTCCGCCGTCTGCATGCTCTTCTGTGTGTTTCCTTTCCACGTAGTCAGCACCCAAGTCTTGAGATTGTGGCTCCTTGTGAGATGGGTTTACAGAAATGGGGGGGAGTCATATCTAAAGACTGCGATGCGGTAGCCTGAGTGTACATGTTAGATCCTGCCTCTGTGTACTGCAGCCCACTGCAGTATCCTCGTGTCCCCCACGGCCGTGTGTGAGTTCATGCTGTCACGGCACACCCCAATATGAGGTTAAGGAAGCATGATCTGCACTCAGGCCCAGAGGCTCAGTGACCTTGGCCTAGGCGTCAGTCTGCTGGGCCAGAAACTGAACCCACTTTGTTTTTCTAAAGCTGTCTTCACTGCCTCGTGTGTAAGAATACACTTGCTGACGAGTAGAGGAGGCCTGCAGAAAATGCTTAAATCAGAAGCTGTGCTTCATATTTTACCATTCAGATCCGTCAGAGTGATGGAGAGGCTTTAACGAAGCTTCTTAATGTTGTTGTTTTTCAGTAATAAATCTTGGTTTTAATTAATGGAAATTCGAAACCTCTCTTTTATGATCTGATGAAAAGATTTATGGCATAGCATTAGAAATGTAGGAATTTGGAATCCTATCAGTCCCTTTCCCTGTGGCAGTACGATCTTAGACAAATCAGTTATGTTTTTCTAAGCCATTCATGTTTTCTTCAATAGCTTCTTGTTGCCATCAAGTAAAGTTCTTATGCTTTAATTTGAATTCAAACTGTTTGACTCTAAATACATTATAGAACAATTGTAATTCATTTATCTATGAATAATAGCTGGCCTCTACCCTCAAAGAACGTACAGTGCATGAAAATTTGATGGCTGCCATTTGCTAAATTCCCTCCGCGTGTCAGACGCAGCCGAGCTCTTTCCTACATTGTCTTCAGTGGCACAGACACACATTTTACAAATGAAAAAAATGAAGCTCAAAGAATTTCAATTAGGTGCTCAAACGCACACAGCTGGTGAGCTGCAGTTTTAGCCCTCTGGGTTCTGTCCAATGCTTCCGAGTGCTCCCGGCCTTCCAGCGGGATGGGAAGTCAGGAGGTCCAGTTCTATACAGACTTCCACTTCCCCACTCCACCTTCCCCGCTACTTTTCTCTAAATGAACGAGACAGAACATATTTAAGTATATTTTATTGATTTCAGGGAAGAAGGGGGAGAGAGAGAAACATCAATAGTGAGAATCATTGGTCAGCTGCCTCCTGCACGCACCCTAAAATGGGGATGAGCCCACAACCATGTGCTCTTGCCCAGAATCGAACCGGGACCCTCCAGTCCTCAGGCCGACACTCTGTCCCCTGAGCCAAAGCAGCTAGGGCAGCAGAATTTTATTTAAAGCATTTCTCTGCAGTGCACTGTTTCCTAAGGTAGGCCCTCGTAGGAGATCTTACTGGCTCCCTCATACATGTATTGAACTTGTGCTGTGAGTCAGACGTTGTACTGCTGCTGGGCACACAGATACAAACAGGACAGTGCTCCCGCCAGGGAGGTTCCCTCTCCGTGGGGAAGAAGTAAACTGAAATAAATAATTGAAATAGACAAATAATTGGAAGTTGTGATAGAGATCGTGAAGCAATATACCTTGGGAGCAAACAATAAAGTAATTGGGAGTTACTTTAAGTGCTCTGGTCTGAGTGAGGGGAGGAGGAGAGAACGGGGGAGGGGCTGCTTCTGCTCTGTGCAGCGTTCCCGGGCCCTCCGCTCCCGGGACCCTCGGCTCCCGGGGACCCTCCACCGAAGGAATTCGGACTGGGCGGGAGAAGGTTAGAAAGCTTCCCGCTTCCTTCGCCAGAAGTGGCTGTGCCTCATGAGTCAGGAGAACAGGGTCTGGAGGCCTATGGAGCAGTTAAAATCCAGGAACAGATATTTTTGGAATAGCATTGTCCCTGGAGAAACATGGAGACTAAACATGGGTGATTATTTAAGGTAAATGCTGAGGACTGTGGCTTCTGACGTGTTAGCAGGCCTTCCCCACTTCCTGGCTACAGGGCCTATTTACTACACATTTCCTCCTGCCCTTCTCTGCCTAAAAGCAGCTGGTTCCTCTGGCCTGCGGGCCGCATCCTGCACCCCGTGGTCTGGCTGCTGAGGATTGCTGTGAGCTGAGCCTGTTTGTTTACACGTGTTGTTGGCAAATGTTCCCAACTGCCGGCCAGACTGCATTACCATGTTTAAGGCATTAGTAAAGTTCAGTATTGTGCCAATAGTCATTCTTTAAAGACTTGGCTCGAATAAAAGTCGGTGCGTTGTGTTAGAGCAGGGATAGGTGAGGTAGCGTGCGGGAGTTGATTGACGTGAAGTGTTGGACATAGTGCCGACCGCACTGGACGCTGTGTGTTGGCTCTCCTGGCAGTTGCAGCTCTTACTGAGCCATGTCTTACTCACTTTAAAAGAAAAGATTGGCAGATGAAGTGTCTTCATTTCAAATTTCACTGAAAGGATAAACTGCCTAGTGACCTCCTTTCTGGTTCTTGTTTCCTCAGTTGGGAGCGGAAAGTGCCGACAGCATTGGCGCCGTGTTAAACAGCAAAGAGGAGCAGAGAGAGATCGCCGAAACCAGGGAGACCTGCAGGTCTGTCAAGCAATTGTTGTTGTTGTTTTACTGGCAGCTTAATATTGTTTTACAAAAGTGATCCTAGGTATGAAGTGTGTTATGAAAGCACCAAAATAAAGAGTCCAGCGCCCTTGGTTTTATTGTTCGCTCACGAAGGATGTACCGCTGCTTTTCTGGCTACAGTGACTTCCCATGTGGTAGGAAATGGAGTGTTACACTGAGGATTGGCTTATAGATCACAAATAAATAATTACTTTTTAAGTTCTTATAGAGGTAAACTGACTTTACCCTAAAAGTGGTAATCATTTGATAGTTCACAAAGCATTTCAGAATTTTTCAATATTCAAGTTATCAATTTGAGCACTAGTTTTGCTAGAGGGAGATTAGAATGATACGTAATTTAGAAGTTCTTTCTTGCCTTATATCCCTGTAACAGCTGATTTTCTCAATAGTAGCCCTGCGCACAAATCCGCAAATCCGTGCACCAATAGCTGTCTGCGCCCTCGGCCTGCTGCCCCGCCCTCCTGTAGCTCCCCCTGCGACCTCCATCATTGGCTGCCTTTCCCTCTCCTGTAGTTCTCCTCCGCCTGCTTGTAGCTCACTGCCCTACCCTCCTGCAGATCCATGATCCAATCATTACAGAGTCGGTCACTACACCTCACAGCGTAATGGACAATCAGCATATTCCTCTCTTATTATATAGGATTTGGTTGCTTACCAATCAAGTTTTGGGACTTTTTAGGTGATTTATAATCTAGGTTAATAGATACTGTTTAATCAGGAAAAACGTGCTTCATTCTGTTTTTATTATGTTATTTCATGGTACTTGATGCATTTATACATCTGTACATACTTGCGTGTGATGCGTCAGTTTTAATTTCCAGGGCTTCCTATGATACCTCTGCTCCAAATGCGAAACGTAGGTCTCAGGATGAAGGAGAGACAGATGAGGACAAGATGGAAGAATATAAGGCAAGTGGAGACTTGGGCAATTTATTGGTCAAGAAAAAATAAGTTCTTCTGATAATAGATTCTTATTGAGGAGAATAAACTTGACCAGAAGCAGAATGTGACAGTCTAAAATAATCGTCATGAGTATAATATATGTATTATCAGTTAAATTAAGACTTTGTGTCACTTTCTTCATTTTAACACATGAGTGTATGGATTAAACTAGGTGATGTACAGAAAGCACTTAATATAAAGCACTGGGCAAATAATATTCTTAAATAACAGTAAGGAAGTAAGGAGGTGTGTCAGAAACTTTGGGTATTTGGATTAGATTTCTAATAGCTACAATACTTTTTTTTTTTGTGATTTGTGTTACTCAATGTTAATATATGGCAGCACAATTAAAATATTTTGAAAATCCATGAGCTAGACAGCAGTGTAGAACCATTTCTGAAAGAGGCCCAAACAAAAAAACCCAACTTCTAAATTTGTAATTGCAGTATTTACTTGAAAAGAAAGTACAATGAAGACCCTATCTCCATTTCTGAAAGCTAATTGAACAGCTATATTTAGTACAGAAGAGCATGCACCGTTTCAGTCAGTCTCTAGGCAGTTCAGTGATACCAGTACCGAATCTTAATCTGTCTTTTGTGTTGTGTTTTGGTGTATGCTAATATGTAGTTTAAATATTTGTGACTATTTCAGGTCAGACCATATGCATTTCCCAATATTTGGACAGTTTTGACCTGTAGAGGTAGATTCATGTAGTTCAGTGTAATAGAAATAAAATTGGCCCATTGGTGGTTATTCCTTTTGATTTAAGCTAAATTCTAGTATTTATAGTATTATATTTGAGATCAAATAATTCTACACAACTTGGTCAACAAAACAAGTAACAGACTTTTATCGATGAAAATTTTTATTTCATTATGAAAAGAATAAACTAGTTATACCCAATGATAAGAAAACAAAGATTTTAATGTTCCACTTTAACAATAATTGAGAAGTTTATTATCACTAGGAAAATAAAACATGTGTGTCTAGTCTTAATCAAGATCTAGTGAGACGTGGACTGTACCTTCTCTGTGTCTAATGTCTGTGACCTCTGCTCCCAGGACGAGCCTGAGATGCAGCAGGAGGAAGAGAACCTGCCGTACGAGGAGGAGATTTACAAAGACTCCAGCACATTCCTCAAGGTCAGCCAGCGACTGAGACCGCACAGCCCTTCCCATGGCAGCTCGGTGCCTGCGAAGATTTTAAATACCTATTTGCTTTCGAGACTAATTTTTTGGATATTAAGGAATCATTGTTATAAAATAAAGGTCATGTCAATCAACTTACATTTTATATGGCATCATAATAAAAAACAAAGTGCAGAATTAGTATATCAGGGTGCATGCTATTAATTTAATTTTGTTTTTTCTTAGGGAACACAGAGTTTAAATCCTCATAATGATTACTGCCAGCATTTTGTAGACACTGGACATCGACCTCAGAATTTCATCAGGGATGTAGGTATGTCACATGTGTTGGACTGTTTATTTAACTTGTGGGTTATTTCTAATGCGGGACTAATTCTAACTGGATTTGTTTACAAGGCATAGTCCATTAATTTAAGATCAGCAGCAGCATTTCATCTCTACTATTTCGTCTCTTCTTTACTTAGTGATAAAAATGAAAGAATACTCATTTTTACTGGGTTCTTTGAGACTTTTTTTTCTCCGAAGGAGAGGGAAAACATGAGAGGGGCAGTTGTCTCCCCCTGTCTCAGGAAGAGACGGATTAAACTTGATGTTACCAGCAGATTATTTCACTTAACAAGTAGGAGACATTGAATGGTTGGGGACTTGACTTTGGCTTCGGACGTCTGGGCTCTATCTGCCTGTGGAGGGAGGGTCGTTAGAGATGAAATGGATGCTGTTTTCCTGGGAGGCTCAGCACCTCTGCTCTGCATTAGCCTCAGTGTGACCTGTGCTTGCTGCCCGCAGGCCTGGCGGACCGGTTTGAAGAGTACCCCAAGCTGCGGGAGCTCATCCGGCTGAAGGACGAGCTGATAGCCAAGTCCAACACTCCGCCCATGTAAGCATTTCTGGCCCTTCCTGTCCGCTCAGCGTCAGACGGCAGGCTTCCCGCCGGTGCCGTTCCGGGCAGGATTACTCAGCACCACATAAGCTTAACACCATTGTCCCTTCCTTATGGGAAAGGTATTCCTGTGAGATCAGTGCTGAATACACTGTAGGTTCTCATTTAACTTGTTTTCAGTTTTTTAATAACTTGCTTTATTTTTTTCTTAGAAAATCATTCACATTTATTGTGTTCTTGAGTTTGCTTAAAATGTTTTAAAATAGCTTTTCTTCTCAAAAAGTCTTTATTAAAGAAAATTTAGATGGGGGAAAGAAAGAAATTAAAATTAATAAAAACTTAGCATTCAGGGCTACTATGGACATTTTTGTGATATGGTAATTCATTTTAACCTTTGCTAAACAGAAAAATGCTTTCCTTAAAAATGTGATAAGGCCTTTGAAATTGGAGACTGTTTATTTCACACTTAGTTTACTTTGAACGTTTATTAGTTTGCTGACATGAGCCTATTCATTAAAACAGTCACCAAGAAGTTTGATGTTTGAGTATTGGGGGAAATCTTAGCAGACTTTAGTATTTATCCTATTTAAAAAGACTCTACAAAAAAATAAACAAAAAGACTCTACATTTAAAGTATTTTATATTTAAATATTTTATATGCAAAACACTTCCATTCTCTATGGAAATAACTTTTCCTTGAAGGCTAATGCTAAGTTACACTAAGTGGCCAGAGAATTTAGAAACGCTTTTAGAGGGAGGAATCTAAGATGTACGGGGAATGGTGTTTCCAGACTGATTCACCAGCTAGAGAGAAGCAGTGTGGCCTTCCCCAGAGTCTCAGGTGGTGCTGGAGAGGGCTGGCTCTTACAGCCGAGCGTGGGTTTTAGGGTGGAAACGAGGGCTGCGTGGGGAATGGACCGCTTGGTGGCATGTGTGCGTGCATGTCCCAGGAAGGTGCTGTTCACGCCGTGCGCACTGACGAGAGGCGAGGCCGCAGTGGTTCGCTCGTGACTGCTTGGGAATGGCGTCTAGTGACACTGGCGAACCTCTCACCTCCACCTGCAAGGTGCTCGAAGTCTCTCCTCACTCTGCTTTCCTCACGTAGGTACTTACAAGCAGACATCGAAGCCTTTGACATCAGAGAGCTCACCCCCAAATTCGATGTGATTCTTCTGGAACCCCCTCTGGAAGAGTATTACAGAGAGACCGGCATCACCGCCAACGAGAAGTGCTGGACGTGGGATGACGTACGGTGAAACGCCGCCTTGTGCATATCACCCTCCTGGCGTGGGTCACACGTGCAGATGGACCAGTACAGATGTGGTGGTCATTAACACGTATGACAAGGCCTTTTAAGGCAGCAGTTGTGCAGGCAGTGAGCAGCTGGTCCGCAGGAGACCCAGCCTTAGGGTCCTGGCGTGAGGCTGGAGGATGCGAAACGGTCCAAACAGCCGGGAGCTCGTCCCATGGGCATTTGGTTCTGTGCGGTGAACACCAGAGAATAGATTCTGTATCAACATAGTGTCCACTCTGAGGAACTGACAGTGTAATGGATAAAAAGGATGAGTAATTTCAGTATAAAGTGTGATAAAGTATATTTTCCTAAAGAAAATTAAGCAAACTGATAACTCTATTAGTTACAAAAGTTACGTGTTTGATATCAGTAACAAAAACAACAGGTATTTCTTAAGTGCCACTGTGTTCAATGCAGTGCTGTATTGGAGAGTCTTATAATAAGACTCAGTACTGAGATTTTAGTTTTGCCCCCAATTTTGAGGTTAATTTAACCTGTTTTCATCTGTTCGTTTTTCTGTAAATGTTAAAGGCTTGTTCTCAAGCTATAGCTTATGGAATTTTATAATTACTAGAGGCCCAGTGCACGAAATTCATGCACGGGGGAGGGTGTCCCTCAGCCCAGCCTGCACCCTCCCACTCTGGGACCCCTTAAGGGATGTCTGACTGCCCGTTTGGGCCCTATCCCCGAGCAGTGCATTGTATTGCAGGGATGGGGCCCAAACAGGCAGTCGGACATCCCTCTCACAATCCAGGACTGCTGGCCCCCAACTGCCTGCCTGCCTGCCTTCCTGATTGCTCCTAACCACTTCAGTCTGCCAGCCTGATCACCCCTAACCACTCCCCTGCCAGCCTGATTGATGTCTAACTGCTCCCCTGCCAGCCTATTTGCCCCCAATTTCTCTCCTCTGCCAGCCTGGTCACTCCTAACTGCCCTCCCCTACAGGGTTGATCGCCCCCAGCTGCCCTCCCTTACAGGCCTGGTCCCTTCCAACTGCCCTCCCCTGCTGGCCATCTTGTGTCCACATGGAGGCAGGATCTTTGACCACAGGGGGGCAGCCATATTGTGTGTTGGAGTGATGGTCAATCTGCATATTACTCTTTTATTAGATAGGATAGAGGCCTGGTGCACAGGTGGGGTTCAGCTGGTTTGTCCTGGATCAGGGTGGGAGTGCCCTTGGGGTGTGGATGGCCTGGGTGATGGGCCTGTGGTGGTTTGCAGGCCAACCACACACCCGGGCGATTCAGTGGAGGCCCTGGTATCTGGAATTTATTTACCTTCTACAATTGAAACTTTGTAGCCTGGAGCAGAGCCAAGCCTTCTGGTCACTCAGTGGCTGCCTCTGTTTATGTTGAAATTTATTTATCTTTTATAATTGAAACTTAGTAGCACTGAGTGGAGGCCTGGGCTGGCCAGGTTATGAGGAAAGCTTGGCTTCCTCCATCACCAGGGAAACCCAAGCCTCCCTCCTGCTCTCTGTGGCTGCAGCCATCTCCGTTGGGTTAATTTGCAAACTCAGGTCTGATTGTATGGTGGGCGTGGCTTGTTGGTATAGTGAAGCGGTGGTTAATTTGCATATTGCTCTTTTATTAGAGAGGATGGCTTCCTATAGCCCCTCCACACGGGTAGGCGTGCCTGTGTGCGTGTGCGTGTGCGTGTGGTCTTCCACAGGAGGAGACGGCATTGAGCAGAGGCGATGGTGAATGCCTCCCATCCTGGCCCTCATTGAAGGAGCAACTCCGGTGGACACCCTGACGCACCAGGAGCTGCTCCTGGGAGAAAGGGAAGCAGCTCTCAGCCCCTGTTTCGGTTTCTTCCAGATCATGAAGCTGGAGATCGACGAGATTGCGGCGCCGCGGTCGTTCATTTTCCTCTGGTGTGGCTCCGGGGAAGGGCTGGACCTCGGGAGAGTGGTGAGCCGTGCTTCCTGAAGTGGATCTTTAGGTTCATGAGAGAAAATGCAATACGATGGCTGCTCAAGGTCTTTGAAGACTGGTGTTTTGTCTTTTGTTTCTTGAATGGCAATGAAGTATTAAAAAGAAAAAAACATTCAGGAAAGAATGTATGAAAGGCTGTACCTACCCTTAGTTGACTGCAGTGGTCACCAACTGGTGGTCCGAGGGTTCCGAAAGGTTGGTGACTGCTGGACCAGTACCAGGGTGACTCGAAATGGGGCTTATTCCGACTGCAGGAAGAGAGCAGCTTAGAGACTCAAAACCACGCTGCCTGGTGTCCCTCGCTGCTCAGGAGTAGCCAGGAAGTGTTCTTCTGAATTCCGTTAACTCCTCAACTTCAAACGGAAGTCAGACGGGATGGGGAAAGGAGCACCATGCCTGGGACGTGTTTTGAAGTGAACGGGAATGAATGGAGGTTCTAGCACCTCAGTGGATGTTGAGTGCCTTGTATGTAATTGCGGTTCAGAACTTCTCTTCTGTTTGATGGGAGTGTCCTGTCCAATGGCTGTGCAATAAGACTAGAGTTCTTTTCCGCACGTCTGCACCAAAGCAATCACTGACACCTTGAAATTGGGCATTTCCGGCCGCTTGGAAGTGTTTAATGCTGGTTGGTTATTCTAAGTATGGTTTATTTCTTTAAGCTAAGGGTTTATTTAAATGTTCATTTCTAGTGTTTGCGCAAGTGGGGCTACAGAAGGTGTGAAGATATTTGTTGGATTAAAACCAATAAGAACAACCCTGGGAAGACGAAGACGTTGGATCCAAAGGCTGTCTTCCAGAGAACAAAGGTATGTTCTCTGCGATCTAGTCATCTTTACTTTTATGTTCTCACAATCATTTTTTTAATTTGTCATTATTTTCCAAATGACTGTATATTGTTTAGTTAATTTTGGTGGAAAGGTCCTCTTCTTAGACTTGTACAAATGGCATTGAGCATTATAGGCAGACACCGAGTTAGGGTTTGCAGCATAGGCTTACAGCGTCATACTGACTTAGGTGTGGAAATGGGGACTCGAGATTTACGTTTGTTGCGCAGTGATCACAGGGAGGCTATGGAGGATCAGTGACTGCAGACTCCATGTTGTTCGTCACTTCCCCAGACACACTCATTGTACAGCTGGAAGGTTGTGCTCCCAGTCCTCCCCTACTCCTCAGTCCCCCCGCCGTCCCTCTGACAGCCACCAGTGTGCTCTGTGTCTGCATCTGTTTCCGTTTAGCTGCATTATTTTGGTCTTTAAATTCCACATACAGTGTAAGGGATGTGGCATTTCTCTCTGAGGCATTGCTCTTAGTTAGTACTTTTCGGGCCCATCCGTGTTGCTGCCAGTGGCAGCCGTGATGCTTCCCTCTGGCTGCAGTGCCGGTGCGTGTTCCGTGCAGCTGTCTTCAGTCAGCTTGCCCCCCTCATCGGAGCCGTTGGTGGCAGGTGTTTCTTACTGAATAGATTTCCTTGGACTGGAGCATTCTTTCGAAGGAACCTCAGCCACCCATCCACTGTTGGTTCATGGAATCACGTGAGAGGCTAGGACTGTTCCACCCACACTCCTGCCATCAGATGAAACAGAGAGGGTCTAACATAGTCTGTTAGTATATAACATGCCTCTGTCAAGTATTTGGAACTCTCTCCAGGCTTAAAGCCTCTTCTCCATGTTCAAAGGCTTATGTCTTGTGTGTGGTTTTGATCTTGGATCATAGTTAGCCCAGTATCACATTTTATAGTTCAAAGGTCAACTTTCATGTTTCCCTTCCTGTTGAAAACAGGTTATGGTTAAGTTAGAGGGGAGAGACTCCGTGGTCGTTGACTCTGATCTACAGTGTGGTGGCCCCTAGGCCAGCACTCTTGTCTCCCTGCCCTGGCAGTCAGTCTCCCCACACCAGGACCCAGGTTTCCTTGCTGTGTCACCCACAGGCCAGAGGAAGGAGCGTTGGTCAGGCAGTGGGACGTGGGGGTGGGCGGCTGAGCAGTGTGAGCGGTGAGGAACGGGCGCTCTCCTCGCTGTCAGGAGCACTGCCTCATGGGCATCAAAGGGACCGTGAAGCGCAGCACCGATGGGGACTTCATTCACGCCAACGTGGACATCGACCTGATCATCACGGAGGAGCCGGAGATCGGGAACATAGAGAAGCCCGTGGAGATCTTCCACATCATCGAGCACTTCTGTCTGGGGAGGAGGCGCCTGCACCTGTTCGGGAGAGACAGCACAATCCGGCCGGGTAAGACCTCAGGAGGAGGAAGGAGCCTGGCACCTGGAGGCAGGCGGCAGGAACGCCTGCAGGGCGGGGGCAGGGAGGGCCGCCGGGCGGGTGCCTCCCTGGCTGCTCAGTCTGCCGGCTCTCCCGGGCTCTGCTGCTGCAGCCGGTCTGACCCAGCAGCCGCCTCCACCCTCCTCGGTCCTGGGCCTGTCTGTGCTCTGTCTCCTCCGTCACTCACATCACTGAACTGTAGATGCAGTTAACTGGCCGCACGCTGGGCCAGTCCCGGGAGGCAGAGCTGTCTGCTCGCTCCCTCCTGAGCACGCAGGGCCCTGTGTCTGTGAATGGAGACGCATAGTAAACGCTGGGTGCCCCTCTGTGCGATCCGGGCGTGGCTTTGTCAGAAACTGACACCCGCTGTCTCCTTACGTGGGTGGTGGTGGCATCTTTCCAGAGCCTGACTAATTCACTGCAGGGAATTCACTGTTTAAAAACGAGACTGGAAAACAGTTCGGCGTAAGGGACGCTCGGGCTCGGCTGCAGATGGGAGGGACCACACAGGCCTCATGCCCAGACGGGCACAGCTTTCCCTGCTGCTGCTCTGCTCTTCCAATCTTTACGCACTTCGATGCGGATGGTGTTCACACGGTGAACGGGATTGCTCGGAAATGCGGCTACGCTGTGGAGTGTGATCCCGGTAAAACCCCGTCACTCTGCGGCATTTAGGATGGTCGGCTCTCCTGAGAAATGAGCGTGAGGGGGATGGGCCAGGCTGCTGTGACGAGCGTCTCAGCTGCGACTTGATTCGTGGGGATCACCTGCCCTGCGCTGGGGACCCCGGGCCCGTAGCCCTCTTCCCGGAAACGTGTCCCGGAAGCCAGCCCCGCAGCGTGCACCCGCCCGCCGGGCAGCACAGCCTGTGGCCTCCGCTCAGTGCTCCCCGGAGGCAGCCACCGTGTGGGCTGAGGGGAGTCAGGGAAGTGGCTGTCAGCACAGGAGGGTCCCTTGGCCCCATGTGGAGGGGCTGTGAGGCTGACGGTGGAAAGGAAAGCGGCGCCGAGGTGGAGACAGCCCCGTCCCGGCTCACTGTCTCCAGCGAAGCTGTGTGACCTGGGACTGGAGAGTCCGGTCCTGTCCGGTCAGGCCAGGCTCCTGAGAAAAGCCCTCAGAGCCGCACCTGGAACTGTCCGACGCAGAGAAGCCAGGGGCTGAGCTTGGCTGGAGGCCAGGCTTCCCAGGGAGGGCTGGGAGCGCCAGTGCCCATGGCTGCCTCTGAGAGCAAGGGCAGGGGCAGGCTGCGGGGAGAGGCGGGGGGCAGGCTGCGGGGAGGGGAACGGGGGCAGGCTGTGGGGAGAGGGACGGGGGGGGGGGGGCAGGCTGCGGGGAGAGGGGCGGGGGCCAGGCTGCGGGGAGAGGGGCGGGGGGTAGGCTGCGGCGAGAGGGGCGGGGGGCAGGCTGCGGGAAGAGGGGCGGGGGGGCACTAAGGGGCCATGGGCAGGGCCGGGTCTCTCCGCTCCTCGGAAGGGGCTGTGTGAGGGGCAGGTGGGACGGAGGGGCGGGTGAGGGCTGGCCGTGAGTGAGGCTGCCCTGTCCTCCCGCAGGCTGGCTCACGGTGGGGCCCACGCTGACCAACAGCAACTACAACGCGGAGACGTACGCGTCCTACTTCAGCGCCCCCAACGCCTACCTGACGGGCTGCACCGAGGAGATCGAGCGGCTGCGGCCCAAGTCGCCCCCGCCCAAGTCCAAGGCCGACCGGGGCGGCGGCGCCCCCCGGGGCGGGGGGCGAGGAGCCGCGGCGGGCCGGGGGCGCGAGCGGAACCGGTCCAACTTCCGCGGGGAGCGCGGCGGCTTCCGGGGAGGGCGAGGCGGGGCGCACCGCGGGGGCTTCGCGCCCCGGTAACGGGCCCTCCAGCCTTTGTCTCCCCTGTGGCCGCCTGGCTGTGGCGGGCTCCGTGGGACTGCTCTGAGCAGAGTCACTCCCGTGGCCGCCACGCACTGTCTAGCTCTGCAGGCGGCGCCCCTCCCAGTCCAGTCCGGAGCCCGGAGCAGCACAGCGCCTTCCCGCCGGGCCGGGCTGGGCCCCTCTGCGTGTGGACGTGGAATGGAAGCGCCTGGGTGCTGTCTGCAGCCTCCGCAGCAGTGGCAGGTGAGCCGCTACACACACCAGACATTTTTCTTTTTAAAAAACCTTAGACTCCGATAGAATCCACCTGCAGAAGCAACGGAAAGACTGAACAAAATCGCCTCCCAAAGCGGAACCTGCCCCCGTGGGGAGCTCCCGGCCGCAGAGGGAGCTGAAGGCGGACCGGGACCTGGGGCCTCCGGAGCAGCCAGGCCCGGCCGGCGCGGAGGGCGGCCCCGCGGCCTGCCAGCCCCCAGCACGGGGAGAGGCAGCCGCACCGGCCCGCCGCTCGGACCCCGGGTGCTTCCTGTGGAGGAAGCAGCTGGACCGCGACGCTGGCAGGAAGGAGCGCCGCTCTGGGCGTTCCCAGGGCCTGACGGCTTTAATGAACTTCATGAATGAAATCTGTTCTTACAAATGCCTTTTATTTTGTTAGGGTTTTCTAATAAAAGCTGAAACCTCCGAGCTGACGCTTATCTCCCTGTCTGTGCCCGTCTTCCCCAGCACTCACTCCCGACCTCCTCCCGTGCAGCCGGGCAGGGATGAGCTGGGGGCGCCGGCTGGAACGTGGGGGACACCAGAACCCATCTCTGCTGAAACAGCCCCGTGGAGACGGCGGGTGCGAGTGGGCCCGGTGGGCCCGGGCGAGGTGTCGGGACGGGTCACGGGGAGCGATCGGGCCCGCAGTGAACAGACCGGCACTGCAGAGCGAGCTGCTCGGCTGCGAGCAGAAGCCCCTCCGGCCCCGAGTGCGCGGGAAGGGACCCGCCGGCGGAGGCAAGGGGAGCCATGCCTGCCGCCTCCCCTTCTGCCGGGACCGCGTCCTCCCATGGCGGTGCGGAACGACTGCCTGCTGGTCGGTTACCGCCGCCGTTAGCACTGAGACCTGCCTGTCTCAGGTTAGGAACGTGGTCTTCCAAGTGATAGGTCCAGATTTTACTGGTTTGTCTAACGGTCGTATTGACAGAGTGATGGCGGGCGGAACGCATTCTGTTAGAGCTTTGATCCGAGTCACGTTTGTGCGGCTGCTCAGCACCTGGCGCACAGCCGGCCTCAGAGCCGCCCCGCAGGCCGGCCACGAGGCCCTCGCAGCCCCGGGCTCTGGTGCCCGGTGCCAGCACCGGCCTCCGCTGTGAGCTGTGCACCGGCCTCCCCAGAACGCCTTCCACTTCTCTGGGACCCTCCCTCAGGCTCATGGTCCTTGGGGAAACGCTGCCTCCCGGAGTGCGGCCAGCCCCGAGCCCGTCCCGGAGCCCGCCCTCAGGCAGGTGGCCCGCGGGGTCTGGCTAGAGGCGCTGACCAGTAGGTTTTTCCAAAGACAACGTGACTGAGAAGGTAGGCGAGGAGCACCCATGGGCAGAGAGCGTGATGTGGGCCGGGGGAGCATGATAGGGTCACAGGCGGAGCATTCACTGCTCTCCCGTTCTGTTTGTCCCGTCTGTGCTGTCCCAGCAAGGGTGTTCTCGTTCCTCTAGGAAAGGGGAGCGCCCAGCACCTCAGTCAACGGCGATGGCCCCAGGGCTGGAGCCCGGCCTGAGGCGGGTGCGGACAGAGTGCTCACCCTCACCTGGGTCAGGCAGGCACCCTCCCGAGGGGTCCCCCTCCCGCTGGGGTCCCCCTCCCGCTGGGTCCCCCTCCCGTGGGAGGTGAGGTCTGAGATGTTCATGCAAAATCCGTGCATTTGCCTCACGGAACTAGGTTGGTGAAAATGACTTTCGCTGAACGCTGCTTGCACTTGTACGTTCTGCCCTGTAAACACGTGTCCAGGTTTGCTAGGAGGGAGCAGCGGGTCGCTGGGGCAGGACGGTCCCCTGTGAGCACAGGCGGCGGACGCTCTGGGACACAATGGCAGCCGCGGGCGGGCGCCGGTGACAGGGAGCCGCCAGCCTCTCCGCCCTCCCTCGGGGGATTTCCGTTGTCTTTGGAGCAGAGGAGTCAGGACAGTTGTGTTCAGAGACGCCCACAGCAGTTCCTGCTGGGGATGCCGACCAGCTCCAGCTCCCATCATGGCGCTGGCTCTCTGACAGGTGTGCACCTCGCACCCCAGTATCCGGGCAGGCGGTCACACTTCACTGCGAGGGGGAGGCTTTGCCTAAATCGGGAGCTGCAGTGGGTGGAGGGGAGGGGGGGCTGTCCAAAGCTGGGCTCCTGTGCGTGGTCTCGGGATCCAGATCAGAGCTCACTCGCCCTGGCCAGTAGCTGGGTTGATGAGCACATCGTCCCGACGCACCAAGGTTGCAGGTTCCATCCCCGTCAGGGCACATACAGGAAGCAACCCAGGAAGGTATAACTATGACAACAAATGGGTATTTCTCTCCAGTTAAAAAGGTGAGCACTTACTTCTCTACTGTTCTGTTTTATTGAAATAGGATTTTTAAAGCACTAGGCATGGCTAAAAATATTGTCTTTAAAGCAATTTTATGTATAAAAATAATTCTAAAGCAAATTTTTAAGAAACATAAGCTCAAATGCCAGCTTTTCAACCAACTAAATCCCTGAATTTTAAGTCCCGCCACCTCCTGGGGGTGGTGCTGACAGGAAGGTGGAGTGGCCTCAGGGCTGGGGGGTCACTCCCGGGGGGTGCCTCCACGTCCCCACCCGGGGAAGGCCGCCTCCTGGGGCCTGAGGGTGGCCGGCCCGCGGACTGGGCAGTTCCTGGGGGTGATTGTAACACGGGGCTTTTTGCACACTAGAGTTTAATGTTGCAAAGTCAGTCTGTGGGTGAAGTCTCATTTCCCCTCATTCATAAACGTAGTCTTTTTGTCAAACAGGCATCAAACCCCACAGAGTATCCTAAAGCTGATTTCTTCAAACATGGGTAATATGCTTTTGTTTTTAAAAATACATTTTTATTGATTTCAGAGAAAGGGAGAGGGGGAGGGAGAGAGACATCAATAATGAGAGTATCATTGGTCACCTGCCTCCTGCTCGCCCCTTACCAGGTACTTAGGCCTTAACCTGGGCCTGGCCCTGACCAGGAATCAAACTGTGACCTCCTGGCTCATGGGTCAGTGATCAACCACAGAGCCACACGGGCCGTGCACGGATACTGTTTTTAAAGAAAGTTCTTCATGGCCCAAAGAATACCAAGATTTGAAAAATTACAATTAAAAAGACTGGCTTAATAAACCAAAGCCTTAGTCTATAAAAGGTATTACAATGGAAAATTCTTATTTGTAAAAGTTTTATATTGGTGGCTAAACTGATAACACCTTCAAAAATATTGTCAAGAGAAACCGCGGACCTTCTGTCAGCTCACCCTGCAGCCGCGCTGCAAGGACAGGGCCTGGGCGCGGCTCTCACCCACACCCGCCGTTTCCTGTGACTGACACGGGGCTGGTGTGCTCGGGGTGGGCGCGGGCGCTGGGAGCCGTGCCAAGGACACGCTTCGGGCTGGCATTCCCGGCCAGACAAGACGCCATGAGGTGGTGACATCTGAACCATCTGAAGCTGCCATCGAGTGGAGGTAGACTCACCTGTGGGCTCCGCACACACAGGAGACGCGGTTGGTAGAACTTTCTAGCACAGCTGGTCTGCATGGCTGCTCAGCCTGCCTTCAGCGGGCCCGAGCGCCCTGGAGGTGGCGCTGGGGATCCCAGCCTCTCGTGTCCGGCGTCAGCCTAGCCAGCACCGGCCTGTGTTTGCAGCAACCCAAGTGCACGTGCCAGCTCTCCCCAAGCACTGCCGTTTCTCCCTCCAGCCTTGGGGGCGGGGTTCAGACACGGCAGCTCGGGGCCTCCTCTTGGGCACAAGTTCCGGTCCAGATTATCTTTCCACCTTCAAACACACCATCTAAGTGCTTCCTTTGCTCTTTATTGCCTCAGGAATGGAGAAACATGTTTCCATCTGACCAGACAGTAAACAAATGAACATTTATTCCTAGCGATTCCCTGTCTGTCACTGGGCTCTTCCAGACGCAGGCGGTGCAGGAGCGGCCCCCGCACCGTGCACTGCCCGGCCCGCAGCCCCGAGCCCCTACGGAAGCCTCCTGCCGAGCAGGGCACAGGGCCCGGCCGTGTCACCGCTGCTCAGAGGCGCTCGGCACGACGGGACCCACGAGGACTGTGCGGACGCCTGTGCAGACAGAACAGACGCGGGGACGGTGGTACCGTATACGATACGTAATCTTGGGAAAATGGAGAACACAGGTGGTTCTAATAGATCCCAAGGTCATTAAAAGTCTGCTATGCAAACCTCAAGTTGAAAAATGTGTTCAGTGGGGTTACATGATTCTAAAAAATATAATGTAAAAATTAAGTTTTTCCCTTGTTACAAATGGGAGAGGAGCCAGGACAAGTTTTACCCCAATCTGTACACGTGGAAAAATAATTTATGTGTGCGGCAGAGGAGGGAGCGGGTGTGGGCAGCCCGGTGACGGCGGCGGTGGCACGGGCGCACGCCGCGGCCGGGCAGACGGTCCTCGTGGGCGAGCGGCCTCCTCGCTCCCCGCTGAGCACCGCGCTGGCTCAGGGCCGCCCGAAGCCGCTGCCAGCAGCCAGGAGCTGCCGCCGTGCGGGGAGCCGGCAGGAGGGGCCTCAGTTGAGCAGCTGGCAGACGGCCTTGTGCAGGCAGCACAGGAAGTCCACGTAGGACGGCGCCCCGTCCAGCCCCTTGTCCTCCACCAGCAGCTGCCGGAACGCCACCGCCGGCTGCTCCCGCTGCTTCACGACCACCAGCTGGGGACAACAAGGCAGGTTACCTCCTGGGCTCAGTCCCTGTCCCCTCTGTCCCCTCCCACCCTCGTGTCCCCGCCTGGGGGCGAGGGCAGTGCCAGGTCCACACCAGGCGGGAGTATAGCAGAGAGCCATCTGCCGGGCTTCCCCGCGGCCCTGCCCGCTGCCCATCCCCGAGCGTGGGGAGGGCTGAGGGGGGCTGTGTGGGGAGGGCTGAGGGGGGCTGTGTGGGGGCTGACGGGGCCATGTGGGAAGGGCTGAGGGGGACCGTGTGGGGAGGGCTGAGGGGGGCCGTGTGGGAAGGGCTGAGGGGGACCGTGTGGGGAGGGCTGAGGGGGCCTGTGGGGAGGGCTGAGGGGGGCTGTGTGGGGAGGGCTGAGGGGGGCTGTGTGAGGGGGGCTGTGGGGAGGGCTGTGGGGAGGGCTGAGGGGGGCTGTGTGGGAAGGGCTGAGGGGGACCGTGTGGGGAGGGCTGAGGGGGGCCGTGTGGGGAGGGCTGAGGGGGGCTGTGGGGAGGGCTGAGGGGGGCTGTGGGGAGGGCTGAGGGGGGCTGTGTGTGGGGCTGAGGGGGGCTGTGTGAGGGGGGCTGTGTGGGGAGGGCTGAGGGGAGCGTGTGGGGAGGGCTGAGGGGGGCTGTGTGGGGAGGGCTGAGGGGGGCTGTGTGAGGGGGGCTGTGTGAGGGGGGCTGTGGGGAGGGCTGAGGGGGGCTGTGGGGAGGGCTGAGGGGGGCTGTGTGGGGAGGGCTGAGGGGGGCTGTGGGGAGGGCTGAGGGGGACTGTGTGGGGAGGGCTGAGGGGGGCTGTGGGGAGGCTGAGGGGGGCTGTCTGTGGCTCCATAGGGGGAGCACAGAGGGCAGTGGAGGCTTGCTCCGGGCGGCGGGCTGCTGGGCACCGGAAGGCCCTCTGTGCGGAAGGCGGGCGGCGGGGTAAGCAGCTGTGCAGCTGGGACGGGCGTCCCCGCCGTGCCCTCTGACCCCAGCCCTCCCACCGTGACAGGAGACCCCCTCTGTCTGCGTCTCCTGGGGGTCAGGGCCCAGGGAGCAGCGTGCTCAGGGCGGGGCTTCCCTGCCATCACTGGGTCTTGTCCTAAAACTGAACCCAGCAGAGCTGTGTGGAGTGACACTGTTCTGGAAAGTTCTGTGTTCACCTGGCAGCTCTCCCTGCGTTTACTGGCACGAGGGCACTTGGCCTAGGGAAGAGGCTGCTGGACGACACCATGTCAGGGGCAGCCTGAGCGCGGGCTGGGCCGGGAGCTGCCGCCGGCGAGCCTGTCCCGCGGGCCGGCCTGCCACCGGGGCCGCGCCGCAGGGGGGCCTGGGCTGGAGGAGGACCGGGTGCTGGCACTCGGCAGCACATCTCCCGGGCAGAGGCACGTGCAGCCCTTCGCTCATCCTCAGAAAGGCTGAGCGCTCAGGAGGCCGGGCAAACGTGGCAGACGCCATGACTTTGAGGTCAGAGAAGGAACTCTGCCCCCGTCCTGAACGAGGCTCTGACTCGGCCTCCGTCTGCTTCGGCGCCGAGGACAGCGTCACAGGCTGACCAAACGCCCCGCCCAGGCGTCCGGTGGGGCTGTCCTCTCAGGGCTGGAGGTGAGGCTGCCTGTCTCGGGCACCGCAGCAGGCGCGTTTAAGTCTGTGCGTCACAGGAGGCGCGGCCCGCTCACCTTCATGGAGTGCGGCCTCTTCCGCTGCAGCGCGCCCACGATGGCCCGGAGCGCCTGCGAGTGCGGGCTCCCCACCTCGGGCAGCACCGTCTGGGGAAGGACATCGGTCAGTCAGGGCACTTGGTAACATTGGTGCGGAGGCAGCAGTGAGAGCATTAGAATCTAACGTTAAAAACACCCGCTGACCCAGGTAGTTCACGTGGACTTCGTTCATTTACCCAAACATCACAAATGTGAGCAGTGCTGAAGAGCCCTCACCTGCGGCTCACCTCCCAGGGCTGTCTCGGCCTCGCTGACCCCCGGGGGCTGTCTCGGCCTCGCTGACCCCGGGGGCTGTCTCGGCCTCGCTGACCCCCGGGGCTGTCTCGGCCTCGCTGACCCCCGGGGCTGTCTCGGCCTCGCTGACCCCGGGGGCTGGTCCTCGCTGACCCCCGGGGCTGTCTCGGCCTCGCTGACCCCGGGGGCTGGTCCTCACTGACCCCCGGGGGCTGTCTCGGCCTCGCTGACCCCGGGGGCTGGTCCTCACTGACCCCCGGGGGCTGTCTCGGCCTCGCTGACCCCCGGGGGCTGTCTCGGCCTCGCTGACCTCCCAGCAGGCTTTGCTCTGGCCTCACTGACAGTTTATGAAGAGGACGCAGGACCCCGTGGCACCCCCAAGTCTGGAAACGACCATGGGGGCACCACTGCTCCACATTACACCCAAACGCTGCTTTCTCTGGGGAGGGTGGCCTCCCAGAGTCCCCTACGCTGGTGAATGTCACAGAACGCATTGCGTGGGCCGGAGCTCTGTCCAGGACAGAAAAGCTGCCTGCTTCCCAGGCAGGGCCCGGAGTGCAGCCGTCCTGTGAGCTGCAGTCACACACGCACGTTTCCACGGGATTGTAAACGGCAGAAACTCGCCAGTCAGTCACAGGCCACCTCCCACGTGTATCATGGATGTTAAGGTGGAGCCTTATTCACCAGGTTACACGTGGTGAGGGTACCCGTGTGCATGGCTCGAGGCGTCAGCTGCCCTACGGAGAGCGGCAGGTGTGCTGTGTGCACTTCTGACGAGGCTGAGAGGAGGCAGGTGGACTCGAGCAGGCCCGCCTGGCGTGCTCTCCATGGGGGCTGGCAACTCATGCACGCTCATCAGCAGAGGTGCCCTGACAGTCACTGCATCCGCGGAAGGAGAGGTGCTCCCACCCTGGCCTGTTGGCTCAGTGAATAGAGCGTTGGCCTGCAGACCAAAGGGTCCTGGGTTCGGTTCTGGTCTAGGGCACATACCAAGGTTGTGGGCTCCTCCCCCTCCCAGGCCCTAGCTGGTAGCATGCAGGAGGCAACCAATCAAACACATCCATGTTTCCCTCTGTCCCTCTTTTCCACTCTCGCTAAAAATCAATGGAAAAATATACTCGGGTGAGGATTAAAATAAATAAAGACTTAAAAAAAAAAGTAGAGGCACTTCCTCTGTTTCATAGAAACATTTTTGAGATTCATAGAGCTGTCTACCTACTGAATTTTTTTTTAAATTTTACTTTTTTTTGGAAATTGCATTTCTAATCATTCCTTAATTTCAACCCCACACAGATACCTTACCATTTTTCTAAATCTTCACCTTTATCTTAGGACTGGCCTCTGAACGGGATACGGCCCTTTAACTCCCTTAAAGCTCTGCTGCCTCCTCCCGGCCTCCACCTGGTGCTGGGCGCTGCCCTCAGACAGCAGGTGGGCGCAGACCCTGGCTCGCAGGACCCGCCAGCGGCAGAGAGCAAAGCCGGCACGGCCAGGAGTGCACGGGCAGCGGAGCACCTGAAGGTCCTGGTAAAGGGCCTCGGACAAGGTGCACCTCACAGCCTGTGCTCCCTCCACGGGACCTGCCCAGGGGGGCCGTGTGGGGAGTGTTGCTTGCAGGGCGTGGACCTGCGATGCCGGCAGCTGAGCGGGAGGAAGATTTCTGTCTGTTAGACTGCGGTTCGCTCCCGGTGAGCCCGCGGCCAGGAGGGCCCGCCCTGGGGGCTGAGCCCGGCCCAGGGAGCCTTCCGTGCGGCAGGCGCTGCTCGGGCGGCCACGGCCACGGCGAGCGCTCAGGCCGCTGGCCGCTCTGCTCACAGCAGTGTTCTGTTCGCTTGTCTAACACTCGCCACGAACGACTGTACAGCAGCTGACAGTTACCGTCAAACACGTGACTCCCTCATCCTCACACAGAACCACCTGCCGTGCTCTGTACATGGGGCTGCACGTGAACAAAGCACTTAACGAAACGACGCTCACCAAGTCCGCGCTGACGTGCGCCAGGGACGGCACGTTGAACAGCCCCTGGATGAGCTCGGGGGGGCAGCTGGCGCCCAGCCACAGGAACAGGCGCAGCCCGTCGGCCAGCAGGAACACGCCCTCTTCGGAGAGACGGGCCTCCGAGCAGCGGACGGCGGCGGGCACCGCGGGGCTGGGGCTCTGGGCGGCCGCCGTGTGCTGGGCAGACAGAGGCGAGAGCTAGAAACACGTCCTCTCCTCCCTGCCTCTCCCCGCCCTCCTCCCTCTCCCCTCCTGGGGTGCTCTCCCAGCTGGAACTTGGCCTTCATAGGACAATGCAGGGCAGCCCAGACACTAGAGCCGGCTTCAGAGAAGCAGAAGGCCCCGCTGGAGGCTGAGGGCAGCCCCTGTACACGCAGGCCCCTCACACCCTGACCTGCTGACCCCGCCTCCGGGCAGGCCACTCAGTGCGCGCCGACGGGGTGTGGTGACTGAGCCCACGGACACACGTGTGTGAGGCCCCACGGCACACGCAGGAGTCTAATGCTCTCGGGTCTCAGCACCACCTTTCCAACCTCCCACCGCTCAGGGCTGAGCGGCCGGGCGGGTGCCCAGCCCCGGAGCGCGGCCCCGCCCACAGGCGCTCACGATGGGCAGGAGCTGTGGGTAGAAGAAGAGCTGCGAGTCGGCCACGCCCATGGTCATGACCAGCTGCCGCTGGAACGCCCGCTCGTCCGTGGGGGTGTCAGGCCGGCCGAGCAGCACACAGCTCTTGAGCAGGGAGTTCACGTACACCGGCAGCACCTTCATGGAGTCCGGCAGGATGAGCTGGAAGAGAGGCACTGTCAGAGTCCACCCTCTACCAGCCCACTGCATACGCGGCGGGGACGGAGCCATCCGGGTCCCTCCCGCACGGCCTCGCACCAAGAGAGACAGCGTGCCGAGTGACAGCCATCGCCAGCACTGTCTGGCTGTGAACTCCTGAGCTTCCCTTCCCAGCTTAACCATGAACACGGTCCACCCAATGGCACACTCTCTGGCACTAAGGTCTGACGTTGGCATAAAACACCGCACCCCCATCCTCAGCTTGCTGGTCCCCGAGTCCACACCTGCTGGATGTGGCCACACGGCGCGGGCTCACCTGGCTGGCGGCGGACGGGCTGGCGCAGTGCTTGCGGTAGCAGGCCAGCATGTGCGAGGTCTGGTTGACCAGGATCTCCCGGATGAGCTTCAGGGGCTGGTGCAGAACCGCCTTGAAAGCTGCGGCACAAGCAGAGCAAGGTGCGTTTCCGCTCAGAAACGGATCCTTCACACAGAACAGAAACCAAACTGCTCCCCGCGGCCACACAGCGACGGCAGCCTGTGCAGCGGCAGCTCCTTGGCCAGCGCCGCCTGACCCAGCAGGATGCGCCGCCCGGAGCACATCGGCCCCACAGAGGCTGGGACGGTCCGACCGTCCCAGGAAGTCCATGCCCAGAGGGAGAGCTCCCCTGCTGGCACCCTGGTTCCGACGCTGGACGCTGTTTCTCCTAAACCCTCGTTAGAATCTCCTCTGGGATTGGGGGCAGGGGTAGGGGGTGGGGGGAGGAGGGGGGACACAGGAAGCTCCACCCGGGGCCTCTGCCTTTTCGCAATCCCATGGTGTGCAAGCCCGTCGGTGTGGTCAGGGGCCATCTGCACTCTCCGGAGAGCCAGGGGGACACGCACTCAAGGAGGCCAGCGCCACCGTCCACACGTTCAACTCAGACCCAGGAGGGAAACAGAGGCTGCCCCGGGGGCTGCCCCTCGGGCCCGTAGTCCTGCCTTAGAGATGCTGGCTGCCTCCTTCCCACTTTGTGCGTGTAGATCCTGAGTTTACCCACAAGCCGCTGCACAGCACAGCTGTGCCTATTGCTACGAACTGGACGGAAAACTTAAACAAGGGGCGCCGTTGTGGCGTGTCCTGTGTAGCCGGGCCCGAGGTGGTGCCCAGGACGTTCCCGTCCTTGTTCCCTCGCGCGGCAGCAAAGCTGTCCGCGGCGTCTGCACCGGTCAGGGCATCTGGACAGTCGCCCGGTGATTCAAGCCCCAGGAGGGCGTGGGGTGTATGCAGACACTCCGCCGTCTGTGTGTTTGCACGCAGCCTGGAGCAGCCCGGGCTTGGTAGCCGGGAACCTGAACTGGCCGGTGCGGGGGCCTGGCCTGGACGGGCGCGGCCGAGCTCGCTCACCGGACTTGGCGAAGAAGTTGACCAGGGCGTCCGTCTCGCAGCTCTTGTAGACATCGGCCAGCTGCGCGCTGCAGCTCAGGGCCAGGTTGTGGATGCGCAGCCTCCGCTGCCCCCCGATGGTGGTGTAGAGCACGGCGCACTGCGGGGCACAGGGAGGTCACAACACACCCCCCCTCCAGCCAGCCCTGGCAGTCTCAGGCCCTGGCTGAAAGCCCCCCCTCCCCCCCAGCTGCGTCTAAGACCACCGAGAGAGAGGCATGGCCACGCCCGGGCTTCCTGCAGGGTTCTGGGAGAAGCCACATTGTAATCAGGCTTCACAGCAGCCCACACCTCCACTCCATCCCCACGGCTCAGACCCCATCGCAGGGGCGGGAGAGCTCACCCTCCTGTCCGGTAGCCTCAGCACCCTCCCTAGGAGCATGCGCGATGAAGCTCAGGTTCACGCCCATTGAGCCCAGAGGCCGGCCAGCACCTTCCCCAGAGGTCGGCCCCCTCTCCCCAGAGGCCGTGGTTCAGCGTGAGCGTCCGGGAGCTTCTCCTCTCGAAGGCCGGCCTCGCTCTACGGTGACGCTGAGTGTGGAAGCTAGGACCCTGAGACTCATGTCTCTGTTTTAATTCCCTGTCTCCGGGCTCCGAGTCAGTCTTCCTGACCACCATGCCCAGTCCCACTGGCGCTTGCTCAGAACACCCGGGCGGCGGTGCTGACCGCCCTGCCGATGCCTGACACCGACCACGCCGCGGCTCTCGGGCAGCGACGTGATCGCTACGGAGAGACAGCGGGAGCACCGGGGAGCAGAGCCCTCTGCCTCTGGGGAAGGAGCGGGTCCCTGAGACCAGCCCGAGGCACCGTCTCCCGCCATCACCGCGGTAACGGCAGCGCGGGAAGGGAGCCGCACCTGGATCAAGGCCCCGCTGTCCTCGCCCAGCTTGTCGTCGTGCTTGAACTCCACGGTCACCGCCTTGTCGCAGTCGATGGCCGCCATCTCCACGTCGGTCGTGTTGTTCATGACGATGCCCCCGAAGAAGTCAGTGGCCCGGAAACCTGAGGACGAGGGAGGGGCGCGGGTCTGCCACCGTCCCAGGCCGCCGTGACCGCGGGGGACGCACGGGCCCGGAGGAGCGAGGGGCGAGTACCTGTGCTCGTGCGGACCCGCATGATGGCGTCGAAGCCGACCTTCTTCTCCACGTCGTTGCGGAGGTCGGTGAGGAACTGCTGGCTGTCGGCGTGCAGCTGCGAAGGGGAGTGTGAGCCACGCCCACCAGAGGGCAGCGAAACACAGCAACTGGTTACAATCTTAGCTCACACCTGCTTCACCCAGAAATCTTAGAAAGGATTCCTAAAGCTTTTTCAAAAATATATTTTCATTCATTTCAGAGAGGAAGGGAGAGGGAGAGGTAGAAATATCAGTGATGGTGAGGGAGAATCTGTGATTGGCTGCCTCCTGCATGCTCCCTATTGGGGATCGAGCCTGCAACCTGGGCATGTGCCCCTTGACCAGAATCGAACTCGAGACCCTTCAGCCCACAGGCTCTCTCCATTGAGCCAAACTGACTAGGGCTCTTAAGACGGTCTCAACTTTATTACAGGTGCAGCCTTTGGTCTTATCGAGTGCTTTGACTAGTCTATGGTACTGATATGGGTAGGCGATTTAAGGTAATTGTCGATGGCAAATAAAAACAGACAATGACTAACACCTATCATCATTTCGGGGAACACTGGTGCCCACTCCATGTCCCCAGGGACAGGGACATAAACCAGAGGCCCTGACCCTCTGCCAGGTGAGGGCAGGGGGGCTGATCTGATCAGTAAGGTTGGGGGAGGAACCGAGGGCATAGCTGAGCCTCTTCTGCTCAGGCGGCTGGTACATTCTGCCCTCAATGTGGTAGGTTTCCGAGGTCCCGTGTCTCCAGAAGCCGTGGCTGTGCCAGCCTGCGCCTGGCGCCCGTCGGTGGCATCAGTAGACCGGCCTGTTACAGGACGACACTCGCTCCTCTCCGTTCTCCCCGCCCGGGCTCTCAGGAGGGATGGGATTACGAGCTGACCCCAATCGTAGCATTTAAAACAACTATGTTGTCGCTTTTAAAACAACGTCTAAATGCACAGAACAGGTTTCCCGCCGTGGGTATTCAGCGCCCGGTTGCCTGAGCTCAGCGCCTCATAGGCCCTCAGGTGGGAGAGTGGGGGGGACCGGGGAGGGGAACCCCTCCCCCCCCCCCCCCCCCCCCCGCCCCGGCTCTGAGCTCCTGTCACTGCTCACGGGGCAGCCCTGGCCAGGGCTGAGAGCCCAGAACCTGGCCAGAGCTGCTTACCTGGAAGTTGTTGTACTTGTAAAGGGTCCCTCCTGTGAGCTGCGGCACGAGCCCCAAGGAGGCCACGTCCACGTACTGGCTGGGGAAGAGGAAGAGCGTCACGCAGCAGCCGTGGGCCACGCAGTCCCGGGCCAGCGCGTCGTAGACCCCGCTCTGGGGCTGGAAGAGGACCTGTGGGAAGAGGCGTGGGAGGACGTGAGCACGGGACGGCAGCCCCGAGGCTCACGGAAGGAAGTGCTCTGTGCGTGGCGAGCTGCTGAAGGTGCATACAACCATCAGCACAGCAGGGCAGCCCATTGGGAGACATGTGTGTCTGCACATGATCTGACCCTTTGACCTTCTGACCCGACCTGAGAAGCTGCTCCGCGCCCTCCCTCTCGTCCTGGACGAGGCCACAGGTCCTGGCTCAGGTGACGTCCTGCCCACAGACCATCCCTTCCCCAAGTGCACAGCCCCGGTGTGAGCAGAGCAACTGAGGGACGTCCGCATAGGAGTGCCCATCCCTCTGCCCGCCTCCACCTTCCCCAGCTCCCTGCCCTACACCGCCTGGTCCTATACTGCCTGGTCCTACACCGCCTCGCCCTATACCACCTGGTCCTATACCGCCTGGTCCTACACCGCCTCGCCCTACACCGCCTGGTCCTACACCTCCTGGTCCTACACCTCCTGGTCCTACACCGCCTGGCCCTACACCGCCTCACCCTACTCCGCCTCGCCCTACACCTCCTCGCCCTACACTGCCTGGTCCTATACCTCCTGGTCTTACACTGCCTCGCCCTACACCGCCTGGTCCCACACCGCCTGGTCCCACACCGCCTCGCCCTACACCGCCTGGTCCTACACTGCCTGGTCACCGCCTCGTACACGATTCCCATGAAGACAGTCAGACCTCAGCTCTGCGGGGCCACAGCTCACACAGCCTTGTTTCTAGGACAGGAGGCTTCTTAGTCGCCGTGATTCCCTGCCCTCCTGCATCCCACGTCCTGGCTACGCCGTGGCACACCGGGCCTCCTGCACCCCCAGCGCGGTGCTCACCTTCTCCTTGTCCGTGTTGATCAGCTTCCTGTCGTCCCGGTTCCGCAGCTTGCCGGGCGCCTCAGCCGTGGGCAGGGAGGCGTGGAAGATGAGCAGCTTCCCGGGGCACTCAGCGGCCTGCAACGGGCACGGGGCCTCGCTCAGGGACAGAGTCCATTAGACAGAATGCTTCCGTGAGCCGGACAGAGGCCTCAGCAACCGCCCCCCCCCCTCCCCTGCAGCCTGCGTCCCGGCCTGGTCCGGGCCCCTGCGCAGCCAGGGGGAAGCTGCGGCTTTGGGAAATGCGTGGTGACATCTAAATGCAGGTCTGTGTGCTGTGACCGGGGTGCTGTGACAGCGGGCTGTGTCTTACAGCGCTGAGCACACAGCCGGGGTTCCCGGACGGGACCCCTGGGCCAAAGGAAGTGACAGACTTTGGCCCGGGACCCCTGGGCCAAAGGCCGTGATGCTGAAAACACTCTTGAGAAATTGGGAAACACGAATTAAACCTGAAGTGCATTTCAAGGAAGGAAGCCCAGGAATGCCGCAGTGCAGCCCGGCTGGCGTGGCTGGCTCAAGGGTTGGGCATCACCTGTGAACCAGGAGGTCCCGGTTCGATTCCCGGTCAGGCACAGGCCCAGGCTGCAGGCTCCATCCCCAGTGGGGGCGTGGAGGAGACTGCCGGTCAATGATTCTGTCATCACTGATGTTTCTCGCTCCCTCTCCCTTCCTCTAGAATGCTGAGATGTTGCGGCAACAGCCCACCCGGGACCCGCCGCCAGGAGGACGATGAGGGGAAACGTGCTCAGACTGTCCTAAACTGGGAGACGGCAGGATGACTCCGCTCCATGGGAGCGATCCGCAGGACAGGTATCTCGAACCTGCTCCCGGAGCGGGGAAGCCACTGACCGAGCCACACTGAGTGTTAAGGGTTCCAGTGCCTCCCGCACCCCCTCCACAGCCCAGAGCGTGTCTCCGAACAACAGCTCTGGCCATGCCTGGGCTCTTCTCCTGAGAACGCTGGAGCCTCCCGCACAGGACAGAGCCTGGTCCTTTAGGGGCGGGGCGGGCGGGCGGAGCGGGAGGGAGGGAGGGAGCGGGGGTGGGGGGTGGAGGGGGGGAGCTGCCCCTCCCCGGCTGCACACACTGGCTCCCTGTCTGACTTTCTGCCTGCGGAGAAGGTGCTGCCTCTGAGGACAGAGCAGAGCCGTGGCGTCTGCCGGGCCTGGGCCCCATGGCCAGTGCCGGGCGCTGCCGGCCTCTGCGGTTCCGACGGACGCCGCTGTCCAGCCGGATCGCCAACGCCCGCCCTGTGTCCTGCACTGGGGTCTCCCGTCTCCGGGAACAGACCAGGCGTCTCGCACGTTTGTCCCTCAGCCGGGACCCATGCCCCCTGTCCTGGCCTGGAGCGGGGCTGGGGGCACCCCAAGAGCCGGCTCAGCTGGGAGGTTTTCAGCAAGTCACCTGCCGTTTGGGTTTGAGAACAACTTCCTTCCAAGACAAGCAGAGAGAAGCCCCGGCGAGCCTGCCCTCGTGGCACTGAGGGTGTCTGCTGTGCTTGGCAAGCGTCCCAGCGTGGACTCCAGCTGACACACAGCGACGGCCCGACTTGTGCTTGCTGCGGCCGGCGGTGTGATAGTGAGTGGGGACTCCATGGCTGCCAGCACAGGGAGGAGGAGGAGGAGGAGGAGGTGGAGGAGGAGGAGGAGGAGGAGAGGAAGGGGAAGAGGGGGAGGAGGATAAGGAGGAGGAGGACCAAGAGGATGAGAAGGAGTAGGGGGATGAAGAGGGGAGGAAGAGAAGGAGGAGAAGGAAGGGGAAGAGGGAGAGGAGGATGAGGACAAGAGGATGAGAAGGAGGAGGGGAAAGAGGGAGAGGAGGAGGAGAAGGAGAAGGAGGGAGGGAGGGGAGGGGAAGAGGGAGAAGAATAAGGAGGAGGAGGACCAAGAGGATGAGAAGGAGTAGGGGGATGAGGAGGGGAGGAAGAGAAGGAGAAGAAGGAAGGGGAAGAGGGAGAGGAGGATGAGGACAAAAGGATGAGGAGGAGGGGAAAGAGGGAGAGGAGGAGGAGAAGGAGAAGGAGGGAGGGAAGAGAGGGGAAGAGGGAGAAGAATAAGGAGGAGGAGGAAGACCAAGAGGAGGAGGAGAAGGAGGAGGGGGATGAGGAGGGGAGAAGAGGAGGAGAAGGAAGGGGAAGAGGGGGAGGAGGATATGGAGGAGGATGAGGACAAGAGGATGAGGACAAGGAGGAGGGAGAGAGGGAGAGGAGGAGGAGAAAGAGGAGGAGGAGGAAGAGAAGGAGGGAGGGAGAGGAGGGGGAGAGGGAGAAGAATAAGGAGGAGGAAGACCAAGAAGAGGAGGAGAAGGAGGGGGATGAGGAGGGGAGGGAGAGGAGGAGGAGAAGAAAGGGGAAGAGGGGGAGGAGGAGAAGGATAAGGAGGAGGAGGAAGACCAAGAGGAGGAGGAGATGGAGGAGAGGGATGAGGAGGGGAGAAGAGGAGGAGAAGGAAGGGGAAGAGGGGGAGGAGGATATGGAGGAGGATGAGGACAAGAGGAGGAGGAGAAGGAGGAGGGGAAAGAGGGAGAGGAGGAGGAGGAGAAGGAGGAGGAGGAGGAGGAGGGAGGGGAGGGAGAGGAGGAGGAGCAGGGACGAAGCGCAGGCTGGACCACCTGTCCATCCACGGGAGGGACACCCCGCACTGTCTGGTGAGGCACATTGTCCAATGCCCAAATCCAAGCACAATGCCGGTAATACAAGTCAAAAATGTGGAATTCTAAGACTACTTTTTCATTCCTATCACTTCTATTACAGAAGTATTTTTTGTTTGTTGTAATTCAAATAGCAGAAAAAGTAAAAACTTTAAAATCTCCACCTCCCCTCTTTCCTGGCGGCCCACCAACTCCAAGGCCTTGGCTGGGCAAGCTCTGTCCCCGCAGCACCCTTGCGCACAGCGTCCTGCAGCCCAGGCCTGTGCTGAGGAGGGTGAGTCCCCACCCATTCAGCTGAGGCCCGTCTTTAAGCCTCAGGTACATAGATTGTGACAGAGGTAACATGCACCCTGTGAGAGAACTCAGTGAGCATGCCTGTGCTCAGCATGGCAAACACACATCACTGCCCGTTAACACCCCCAGGTGCAAAACTCTGAAGGGAAAACTCAGGGCCCGTTAAAAAAATAAGGTTCAATATGTACAATTTTAAAGTTCAATATTTTTAAAAAGCCATGTCTATTTCTTTTGGCCATACGGTTATGAGCTTTAGATTTAGTTTCACTATTCACACACTTATGAAACATTTTATAAGAAGAATAAGAGAATAAGCTCCTGTGCCTACAGCTCTGTGTCTGATTGGGCTGCATGACTGTGCTTGAGCACGAGACGAGTGACACCTGTCACTCTCACTGTGATGGACAGAGCGAGCACGGTCCCGGGAAGGACACCGAGTTCCCAGGCCAGCCTTACAAAGCAGGCCCTGCCTGCACCTGCCGGGCTCACCGACAGGCGCAGGCCCCAGGGGAGATGTGGGTGGAAGTGCTGATCCTGTGGAATGTGTTATAATATGTTAATCTTATGAATAATAATGGGACTGAATGAGGTTCCCAGAGCCAAAGGGGGGGCTACGCTGGGAGCCCTGGCAGACCGGAGGCGGGCACGCTGGGGAATGTGCCGAGGCCTGTGGCCAGTCCAGACCAGCCGCTAGCAGCCCTGGGCTAGCACAGGCGCCTCTCTTACTTGGGGGAATTCCGTGGTGTGTGTGTCTGGCTGTAAACTGCACTGACAGCCACTGAGAGGCGCCTCACCTTCAGGGCCTCCATGCCGGCCTGGATGACGGGCGCGAAGACGGTCTCGTTCTCGGTGGAGTCGGCGAACATATCGGGGATCTGGTCCAGCAGACTGCGGAGCGCGGGGCAAAGGCAGGTGGGCGAGTGCTTTCCCGGACACCGAGGGGGGCTCAGGGGTCACTCCCCAGGGAATCACAGCCGGTGCGGTTTGGCACCAACATATGGATTGGTTTGGAACAGTTACAGAATCATTCCCCTTGCGGATGTTTTTTCTATCCCACATTTCCGATGGTTTAGCTGCAATTCCTGAGTAATTATCCCATTATTGCCGTGGTCACAGGACACACTCACCCACAGAGGCCACGCTGCCTCCTGGGCCTCCCCACAGCAGGTGCGGGTGAGCGCGCGCCGACGGCGACAACCGGGTCAGAGCCCCGTGCGCCCCGGCTCCCGGCAAAGCAAACCCCATGCGATGGGACCGAGGCGGACAGCCGCCGCGCGGGCAGGACGCAGCACGTACTTGTGGATCACGGCCTGGGACTCGTGGTAGCTGACCAGAAAGCCGTCCAGCAAGGGCACGAAGACCTCGGCCACGTCGGTCACCACCATCATCTGCGGCTGCGCCAGGTTGCTCTTGACGTTGAAGAAGTGCAGCACCTTGTTGTAGGTGACGAAGCCCACGCGGATGGCAGACGGCGCCTCCGGCTCTTCCCTGGGGGAGACAGGCCAGCCCCTTAGCCCGAGAGGCCCCCTTAGCCCGGAGGCCCCCCCTTAGAGAGACTCCCCTTAGAGAGGCCCCCCTTAGAGAGGCCCCCCTTAGAGAGACTCCCCTTAGCCCGGAGGCCCCCTTAGCCCAGAGAGGCCCCCTTAGCCCGGAGAGGCCCCCCTTAGAGAGGCCCCCCTTAGAGAGGCCTCCCTTAGAGAGGCCCCCTTAGCCCGGAGAGGCCCCCCTTAGAGAGGCCCCCCTTAGAGAGGCCTCCCTTAGAGAGGCCCCCTTAGCCCGGAGAGGCCCCCCTTAGAGAGGCCCCCTTAGCCCGGAGAGGCCCCCCTTAGAGAGGCCCCCTTAGCCCAAGAGGCCCCCCTTAGAGAGGCCCCCTTAGCCCGAGAGGCCCCCTTAGCCCGGAGAGGCCCCCCTTAGAGAGGCCCCCCTTAGAGAGGCCTCCCTTAGAGAGGCCCCCTTAGCCCGGAGAGGCCCCCCTTAGAGAGGCCCCCTTAGCCCGGAGAGGCCCCCCTTAGAGAGGCCCCCTTAGCCCAAGAGGCCCCCCTTAGAGAGGCCCTTAGCCCGAGAGGCCCCCTTAGCCCGGAGAGGCCCCCTTAGCCCGGAGAGGCCCCCTTAGCCCGGAGAGGCCCCCTTAGCCCAAGAGGCCCCCCTTAGAGAGGCCCCCCTTAGCCCGGAGAGGCCCCCTTAGCCCGGAGAGGCCCCCTTAGCCCGGAGAGGCCCCCTTAGCCCGAGAGGCCCCTGGGCAGCAGCGCACTCCCAGGGCAGAGCGAGTCCGGGTCTCGCCGGGGCCATGTGCAACAGACAGCCACAGGGGGAGTCATGGCGGGTGGTGGGGGAGCACAGATACAGGAGCTGGCAGAGAATTTTACTCAGAATTCTGAGTAAATACCCAGTAGATGTTACTAAAAATGCTCAGATTCCGTCAGTCCCACACTTCTGACACCTGTTCTCAACCCACAGCTGTTTTATAACCAAGTGAGGCCCTCCTTCCTCATACACAGAGCCCCCAGGAGCCCGTCTGGCCCGACAGGGAGCATCGGAAGCCAGAGAAGGGCGCGCTGCACCGGACAGCTCTTCCTGGGCAGAGGGCCCCTGCCCTCGTGTGGCCCCTGCCCTCGTGTGGCCCCTGCCCTCGTGTGGCCCCTGCCCTCGTGTGGACCCTGCCCTCGTGTGGGCCCTGCCCTCGTGTCCTGCCCTCATGTGGCCCCTGCCCTCGTGTGGGCCCTGCCCTCGTGTCCTGCCCTCATGTGGCCCCTGCCCTCGTGTGGGCCCTGCCCTCGTGTGGGCCCTGCCCTCGTGTCCTGCCCTCATGTGGCCCCTGCCCTCGTGTGGGCCCTGCCCTCGTGTCCTGCCCTCATGTGGCCCCTGCCCTCGTGTGGGCCCTGCCCTCGTGTGGGCCCTGCCCTCGTGTGGGCCCTGCCCTCGTGTGGGCCCTGCCCTCGTGTGGCTCCTGCCCTCGAGAACCTCACGGCCAGTGGGGGTCTGAGAGCCACATGCCACACAGTCTAAGTAGGTGAAGTAGGTCACAGGTGAGCTCTGTGGAGGCCCAGCACGATAAAAGTCAGTACTCAGCACACAGTGACGTTTATGAGGCATTCCAGACAAAGCCTTCGTCTCGCCCGGAAGAGGAGAAGGTGTGAATGTCCTCACTCAATCCCTGCCAAGCATGTTCAGACTGTGTGATCTGGACTCAGTCCCATGTTCACTGAAGGCGTGTCTGTCTGAGTCTCGCCAGGCGCCCTCCAGCCCTCAGAGCGGCTCTGGCAGAGCCCGGGCTCCGCAGCCTCAGGTGCAGGTGGCTCTGGGCCCCCAGGCCTCGTGCAGCTCGGCTGCGGCCGATGCAGCCCGCCGGCGGCCAGCTCAGTGCGGGCCTGCGCGGGGCACAGGGCGCACAGACGGGAGCGGGAGAGCGGACGGGAGGGTCAGCTCGTCTGGCCTCTCGCCCCTCTGACGCCTCAGCGGTGACACTCTATGACCCGAGAGGGGCCCTCTGCCCAGCAAGAGCTGTTTGCTTCCTCTCCGCCTTCGCTACTGAGGGGTTTGTTCCTCACCGAGGCCTCGACCATGGTGGGCAGTTAAGCAGAGCCTCATGATCCTCAAAAAGCACCGGGGGCTTACATTCTGGGTCTGCACATGCGCGCGCGCGCACACACACACACACACACACACACACACACACAGTCACACACGCATGCTCACACCCCTGGTGCCCCACACTGAGCTCCACGTGTGAACCTCTGTCCACGTTCCCTTCCCGCCTGCTGCAGACGCTCCTCTTCCAGGCCAAGCACAGATCCCTCCCCTCAGGGTGTCCCTGCGGCACCAACTGGGTGCAGTTCCGTGTGAACTCCCACGCCTCGTTCCCACGGGCTCTTCAGTTCACAGCGAATCCCGACGGTGCACCCGTGAGGCGGCGGAAGCCCGCACTCCGCTCCGCGGGTGCAGGGCGAGTTAGGGCTCTGGGGTGTCCCCGAAGGCGAGGCCCAGGCCGCCGCATGCATCCCGCTCAGTGCGTGATGGCGCCTCACTCAGCCCGGCGGAGGGGTTTACACCCGGGCCTGAGCGCACGGCCGTCAGGGCTTCGTCGGGGGCTGGCAGCCAGCATGCCCCGGGAGTCCCACGCCTGTCCCCGCAAGCCTGCCGTTACGTCAGGCAGAAAGCGTCCCGCAGGTCACAAAGGGCATTTGTTTTCTTTTAATGGCTAATCTGGAGTCAGCGAAGACATAAAGCAGGAAAGAAAACGGACACAGGAACCGGGGAGGGGTTTTCCCACTGGACTGGGACATTTGCAAGTGACGGGAAAGGCACCTGGGTCTGTGCCTCCCTTCAATCAAGTTAACGTTTTAAAAACGTCTAATGAGAGCATCTCACGTGATTGCAAAGTGTTAGCACATATTTCCACAGGACATGTTTTTTTAAATTTGAGAACAGGGAACTGTCTTAAATGTTCCTGTAACAGCATAACTGCCTGGTTACATCCTATGGAGAGAACACTAACCCGGCCGGTCCTCCACAGCAAAGCC